CGCGCGCGCGCGCGCGCGCGCACACGCACGCACGCAAGCACACACCCTCCCCCATACCTCATCTACAGTGCATGCGTGAGTGCAGGAGTTTAACATTCGGCGCAGGTATGTATCGCAGGTAACGCAACGTGGGGCGAGTATAGAGACGTCGACAATAGCGGTCGGCGGTTTGCGCTTGTGTGCGTGTGTGTGCCTGCGGCAAGGTCGCAGCAAGAGTGACAGACGGGCCGGACCTATCCCTGCTGCCTGGGGTGCGGGGCTATAGATTGGCTTGCATGTAGGGCCCAGGTGGCGGCTGTAGCAGTCTCGCGGATACGGACGCTTCATGGAACATGATGCGTTACGGTAGGGAAGTGCACATGAAAGAAAATATATAAAAGAAATATGCACATGAAAGAAAATATGATAAATAATGAATAATGAAATAATAAAGAAACTAATGAAAAAGCCAATCTTTCTGCTGTGAGATAGAAGTGGGGGGGAGAAAGAAAAAAAGGGCAAGGGAAATAGCGACTGAGGGAGACAGAAAGATAGAGAAAGATAGACAGAGAGGGAGAGAGAGGGGGAGAGAGAGAGGGTGAGTGGAGAGGGAAGAACAGCCCTATGCGACGGATCAACCACAACTGCACATACGATGTTTTTCGTAAATTACGCCCGTTGTTCATATTGCGATGTACTAAATAATTACTATGCAGTATGCATATTGCATATTACAAGTAATATATTGCAAAGTAATATATATTGCTATATAATTAAAGCAAATAATAATAAGCAGCTATATAATAATATATAATTATATAGCCTATCGTGCGTTACGGTATCTTGCAGCTGTAGCTGGCGTCTCTTACTGGGCCATCGGCTTTCCCCTGGCACACGGCGACGGCAACGCGTTCGTCGGCGTGAAGTACTGGTTTAGTTACGATATGCCGGGAGATATGTTCGCCTTCTGGTTCTTCCACTTCGTGTTTGCGGCCACCGCAGCGACAATTGTGTCGGGAGCGGTCGCCGAGCGATGTGAATTCGTCGCCTACCTCATCTATAGCTTTCTGCTCACCGGTGAGTGAACAGGAATGCGACTGGCTAAGCTGCTAACTGCTACCTAGAGAGACAGACAACTAACTACAACAACGGTCGCTACAACGCTATAATTATGGAGCGATTTAGCATTTTATTGCTGCGCGTTATCGTTGGCTGGTTGCTAGCGTATGTAGGCGTGGCGTATGTAGGCATGAATGTCAGATAAAAGATAGACGAGGAGAGTGGCGCGTCTGGTCGCACGGTCTTACTACTTAGTAAAGGGGAGAACGGTTATTTTTCGGAACGCGAGATTGAAGCATTTTAATTTACCGGGAACCGGAAAATAAAGTTTTCGTGATTCAGGAATAGATGTCAACCGGGAAGCGGAAAAGCTGCGAATTTTAATAAACCGAAAACTGGGAAATGGCATTTTTTTCAACTGTGAAATTAGAAATGAAGCTCTTACCTCCTTTATCTACTCACCCCATGGAATCTCTCGCATCTCTCAATTTCTTTCTCATAACGTAATATTTTTACAGATTGCGACGATAAACCCCTATATAACATCCGTGTTTTACGTCATTGCACTTTTTAAAGGTCTCATATACCCAATAGTGACACATTGGGCGTGGTCGGAACGTGGTTGGCTCTATCAAGGAATTAGCGATTCCAACGGAGTTAATGTCTCATTCCAGGTATATGTTACGATAAGTCGCAATAATTTCCTTATACGTTTATGATAAAATCATTGGTGTGACTGTGTACATATACATATACATATACATATACATATACATATACATATACATATACATATAGATACCATCCTTGTGCCTTCCACTGTTTCGGCGCGTATGTGAACACATTTGGGACTAACAGGGTTTACTAGAATCCCACCACTCCACCACAGAGTTACCGCAGTAGACGTGAGATGAGCGCTGTCGCTCCGCGGCACTTGTTATTATTTACCTGTTTTCTGTATTTTTCTATCTTTATCCATTTAACTATTTTTTTCCAATTAACGCAAATATTTACATTTTAATGTTATATATGTACTGTTATATATATGTATATTTCTATTTAAGTGTTGATGTGTACACGCGTGATCGGATCGCTGCATGAAGCAGGGCGGTGCTGCTGCTGAGAAGGTGGTGGAGGCGGCAGGAGGAAGAGGAGGCGTAAATGCTGGCTGAGGGAGGAGGTAGAATAGAAGGCGTAAATGCTGGTTGATAGAGGAGTTAGAAGAGGAGGAAGAAGGTGGCAGAGGAGAGTGAAGGTAGAGGTAGAGGAAGATGGGACAAAGTGATGAAGGAGGGAGGGGTAGGTAAAGGAGGAGAGGAGAAGGTGGTAGATTAGGGAGGAGGTAGAGGTAAACACGAGAAGGTGGTAGGAGGTGCCGTTAGATGAGGAGTGAGAAGGTACCGGACAACAGGCGAAGGTCTAAGTCAACTGCTCGTGACCAGTTTTACAGTGACCTATTTTCCGTGCCACCAATCATCCTGCGGCCGATTTTCCGTGTGATCCGCTTTCCTATGGCCGTATCTCCGTGTCGCCAATTTTCCAGTGACTAATTTTTGCTGATTCCGGTTCGATACAGCCCCTCCCTCCCGGTGGGGGGGTCGTACAACCGAACACAGCATCAGGTACGTTATTAAGGCGCAGTAATGGGGTTAGCCGCTAGAAAAAGTCGCCGCCGTAGAGCAGCACCCCGGTAGTGGATTATCCGCGTGCGCGGGATACACTATGGCGACATATGACAAACCCAGGTGCGTGCCCCGAGGTGTCCACCAGTATCCGTCGTCAGGTCACTGAGCAGCGAGCCAGCCAACTCGCTGGAGCGTGTTCGCCGAGTTACCGAGAGCTAGCTTTCTTTCCTATTCGTGTTTCCCCCACGCGCGTCGCGGCAAGCGCTGCGCTCCACTCGATCCCAAGCACTCCGCCGATCGCCGTTCACTCAAAGAGCAGACACACGAAGACGACGATGGCGGAGACGACGACGTCACCGCTGTGGACGGAGCTTCCCGATGCGACGGTGTTTGTGAACGATACACATGTTTACATCAGCGCCTATCAGCTCCGGCGGCTGGAGGTTCTCGCCGACCATGTGAGCCATCTCGATAAAAATATGGATCAGTTCTTCCTGCTGGTCAACGCTGCGTTCATATTCTGTAAGTGTTTTGCATCTGTGGATTTCTTCTTCTAGTGAACGCGGGGCGTTCATATACTGTAAGTGATTGTATCTGTGAATTTCTTCTTCTAGTGAACGCAGGGCGTTGAGAATGTAAGCGGTATGCGGTAAGCTGTAAGCGGATGGCGCGTGAATTCTATATTCTAATAAGTACAGGGTATTGTTATTCTGTAAGTGAATGCGCGCGTGTATTTTTTTTGCTAATAAGCACAGGGTGTTGATATTCTGTAAATGATTGCGCGCGTTAATTTTTTCTTCTAGCGAACGCAGGGCACGTGTATTTCGTAAGTGAATGCGCGCGTGTATTTTTTAAGCTAATGAGAACAGGGATCGAGTTGTTATTCAGTAAGTGATTACATTTTTCTTACATTTTTACTGTATTTTCAATTAATTAAATGCAATTAATGTGTACTAATTAACGTAAGGAAATATCGTTGACTAATGAAGCAGAGAGCGATGCTTTTCGGGGGTTTTCCCCAGCATCCTTTCTCTCACGTCGTCGTTGTGCTTTTAGCCATGTGCGGTAACTAAAACAGAGTGAGGCGCTCAGGGGGGAATCTCTAGCATCCTTTCTCTCACGTGTTTCTTATGCCTTTAGTCATGCAGTGACTAAACGAAGGAGTCTCACAGCCACGCGAGGCCAAAAATCGTGCAGAATCTGCGCGCACACGCTGAGCTATCTGCTGAGCCAACGGCCTCTTGAGGCCGTTGGCTCAGCAGATAGTTCACCGTGTGCGGCGGGCTTAAGAGTCTGATAACCTTTTGACCCTCAAGATGAGGGTTAAACATGGATTCCTGAACTGCCTCAATGACGTCACAGTGTTGTCATATTCATGGTACATCCATAATCTAGAAACCCAATAAGCCTGGTAATCCGAAAACGAGTTGGAATGTCAAAGCTGGGGGGTCAAAGGTCAAGAGGTGTAAAAAAAGGGGGAACATTCCCTCCTTAACTTAAGGTATAGGGAGGAAATGCAGAATTGCGGCACAAATCTAAACGGCTCGTGATAGTCGGTGTATAGCATCATGGTAGGAAAAGCCATCACTGTGCCGAAATTGGAGGTCACAGGTCAAAGGCCAATGGGGCACAGGGCAGATTTTAGACATTTTCTGAGGACATGGTGTGACGGAGCGATTGGGAAACTTTTTTGTTTCAGCGGTGAACTACCATTTTTATGGCTTTATTAAAAGAACCATGAAATGTGCTTTCCACTGACGTGCGAAGAGTAAGTGTCTAATAACCTTTTGACCCTCAAGAGGAGGGTTAAACATGGATTTGTTTACTGTTCGAAAGAATTTGACTGCCGGGTTTGCTAGTAGAATCTATACATGCCTGGATGTATGAGGTTACAATGTCACAGTGAAATTTCAAAAGCTAAATTAGGTTTATGCTCCTTAAATCGTATAATTTCTATGGCATTTTGTACTGTCAGTATGTTACATGTAACTTATGCCACTGCCAGTGCATGTGGTGGTGATAATACTGTGTAGTTTTTGCCTGCGTTAATTAGTTACAGGTGGCAGCTCTCTATTTCAACCTGTAGGCTTGCGTAGGTAAATGGATGAGTGCTTACCTATTCTGTCTTGCAAATAGTTGTTGCTACTACGTACGATGGAAGCTTAATTCCAGCTTCCATCTT